AGAAAAACAAAAAGGAAAAAGGTGTGGGGGGGGTGAAAAGAAAGGTGGATGGGGAATGAAAGATATAGACAGGCCAGCTGTCTTGAGTTTTATTTGATCTTTGAAAGAGAAAGTAGTTTGAATGTTTTTTTTCTAGTGGAGCATGATGCATGCCTTATGTTGTAATAATTGGCTATTAATTTCAGTTTATAAGAATCTGGACTGGATGATGGTCCTAAAAATAAAAAAGATCAACAAGGAAACAGAAGAGATTTTTTACATGACTGTTCACCTGTCGCAGGTAAAAATGTAAAGAAATAAAGACAGGATGAATTTTTATGACAAGTTAACATGCCATCGGAATTTCTGGATTTATGCATTGATTCAATTAGATCAGTTTCTTCATATTGGCTCTTTTTAGAATATGATTTCAGCCACTGTATTCTTCACTGTTCTTTGAACTGAATGCCTGATACATCCACACCAATAACCAATGTATTTTGTTTTTAATCTCACTCGGTTCTATGCATTCTTCAGTCATTTCTTAACTATTTATTTTATTTGGGAATATCAAACTTAACCATTTACTTGATACACAGGAATATATTGTTTTTATTCCTTCTGTATTACATTCAGTGTGCTTCTTAAAAAAATGTAAAAATACCTGTCAGTTATTCTCTACAGTGTAGCCCATCAGGTTGACATTGTTTTAATACTGGGAATATATTGTTGACATTGTGGGTAATATTAATTTATGCTCATCCATACACCACCTGTTAGAGGTCAAGGGGTCATTCATCACATTCAATGAAGGAAAGTTAAAAATAAGGCCCAACATGTTTTCCATGTCAGAAAGGCAGTGGTTTTTACATATGAGATAATGCTTTTAGGTTTCTCAACTGAGACATCATCAAATACACAGTATTAATAATATAAAACTCCATATTTGACTAACAGGCTTCACCCACTCACTATCGCTTTGCAGAGTAAGATATATTCACTACTTTTAATTTTAAATGAACATTTTATTCATAATTATAGTTTATTATAGTTAAGAACAGTTTTATAAATAGATGCCAACTTGTTGAAGGCCAAGTAAAATGTAAATTTCAAACACCTTTCTGGTCTACATAAGAGAACATTTCTAAACAGGAATATTTTTGATATGAAAATCAAAACAATGCTCTAATAAAAGAACAATAATGAAGGACAGTCAGTTAATGAAATACACTTGTTTTAAAATCATTATGCAAATTAGTTAAACCTGATGAGTGATATTGCTTAAAAAATAATATATAATACAGATATTGAGCTTTTAGTGTGTAAATTACTCTTTTTGAGTAGATACACATCTCTAAGTTGTGTCTCTGTCTTTGGGCAGAGTGTGCTCAGAGGTGACTTCGTCAAATGACAGGGTTGCAACTGAGAAAATTATACTGAAGTGCCCAGCACTGGGGAACAGCTGCCTGAGGCCGTGCCCTCCCATTGCACCAGAGGGAGGGATTGGTGCTCGCACAAAGGCCAGCACAACCGACAGTTGTGGGGGATGAGGGGAATTTTTGTTCCTGTCCTGGGCGTATGCGCTTAGGTCCCTCACCTAAAAAGACCTTGTGTCACATCTCGTTCTAGTGCGGGGGACAGAGTAAATACAGTGTGTACTTTACTCTTTTTGAGTAGGTACACATCAACTTATCATCTCTCAAGTTGCTTGGACACATATACACACATACACTGTACTTTATATATAAGACATAGTTCAACATATCCTGCCATCTTGTTGGGGGCTAACATAAGATGGTAAGGCCCATTGTATGTACCGTGAGTGTGCTAGAAGGTTATAGCTTTCATCAGGGCTTGGACTGACCTTCATTGCTTCTGATCCTTTACAAGACATTCAGAACCTTACCTTTTTGCTGAAACACAGAGTGGATGTTGACAAAGTGTATCTGGAACCATGCAATTCTTTACTTGCCTAAAATCAAGTCACACACACACACACACACACACACACATTACTCCTTGAAAGTAATTATTATCATTCTTTGGCATGGACAGCAAGTGTTTTCAAGGATATATCGGCTTTCTTCATTACAAACAGAGCTTTCAAATTCATTCAAGTTTTCATTCATTAATCATAATAATAGGAGTTTCCTCATAAGGAAACATTTGGCTTTCACTGACTGAGAAGATAGTGTTAACTTTGTTTGAAATTTATAAAATCTTTCTATTAAAACAATTTTTCAAGAAAATATGTTTCTCAAGTTCAGTAACTGTTACTGCTTTTCTAGTGTTGATGGAGGTTTCCTTCCTAACCTTTTGTTCAAAGTAGTATGGAATATCAATATGTTATAATACCATTATTTTCTCTGAGTTACATGTGCTATCCATTTTAGTTGCTTTTGTTGAAAGTCCTCAAGTGTTGTAGATTCCATTATTTGGCACAGTTCTTTGTGAACTCGCATAATATTACTCACCTTTAGTTTTGCCGTTCTTACAGAATGGAATGTCAAGTGGCATTCCCTGTTGAATCAAATTCTGACTCAGGATAGTATTGCTTTTTGGCAATATTTACCAATGCTTGTTGCTATCAAAACTTTTCAGCTATTGTGCCCCCGGGTTTTCATCAGGTGCTTGCCAATCTGGATAAGCTTCAAAGAACATAGAACCGACTCATTCAGAGTTAGACATTTGAAAGAATCAGCACCTATGGTAGGCTATGAAGACCTCTTTAGTATGTCCAGCATAGAAATAAATGATATGAGAGCTGTTAAGAGAGAAAGAGAACTGACAGCAAGGCTTCAATAGCAACAGCAGTAGAAAAGAGAAGCCTAGGTGAGAGTAGTCATGAAGTCGCTGCAACCATCAGCAGGAAGGTTAAGATTACGGCATCAAGTTCACTCAGAATTGTCTCATGAGACAATAACCTAGTATTGGTTTATGAATTTGGTGATATAGTAAATGTGGGTTCAATCCCTGGGTTGGGCAATACACAGGAATATATTGTTCTTATTCCTTCTGTATTACATTCAGTGTGCTTCTTAAAAAAAATGTAAAAACACCTGTCAGTTATTTTCTACAGTGTAGCCCATCAGGTTGACATTGTTCTAATACTGGGAATATATTGTTGACATTGTGGGTAATATTAATTTATGGTCATCCATACACCACCTGTTACAGGTCAAGGGGTCATTCATCACATTCAATGAAGGAAAGTTAAAAATAGGTCCCAACATGTTTTGCAAGTCAGAAAGCAATGGGCAGTGGTTTTTACATTTGAGATAATGCTTTTATGTCTCCCAACTGAGACGTCAACAAATACACAGTATTAATAATGGGAATGGGTAAGCAATAACTATGCAGTCTAAGAACTAAGATGAGACATCCTTGTACATGGGCAACAGAACAAGAACACTCTACCCTCATAAATTAAAGAAACAGTTCACTTCAAAATTTCCTGAAGGTTAACTGAATTGACAAACACTAGATGAAGGCTCGCAGGCATAATAATTGATATATTATAACAACAATTGTCTGTGTGCGAATAATGATAATCCCTTATCCAAAATAATCCAGACAGAAATTTATTAATGTATTTGATAAATAAAACAACAGAAAAAAAAACAGAAATCTGTGCTTTTCCTCTTCTGTTAAAAAGGGTTACGTTTAGGGTTAATGACAAATTCTGTATAGTAAATATTCAAAAGTATACAGTGATGGGTTTGTTTTGATAGACACTTTCCTGCCTTGATAAATTCAAGATGGCCAATGTGATAAAAAAAAAAAAAGTAAAAAATAATTTTATATTAAATAAAAATTATCCTGAGGTCACTTCTTAATTTTACTGGCAAAGTTCTTCTTGGTTTTTCTCTTATCTTATTTTATATGTGAAAAAAAAAAAAATGTTATTTCATCTGGAGAGCGATCTGAATGTTAATAACCCTTTACAAAACGATGGAAAAGATGAACATCATTCCTTGTTTGTGGGGATATTTATATCTTCTCTAGGAATAGAACTCAGTTATCACTAATTGAGTTCTTTGCATATCTTCATTGAATATTTTTTTTGCTGGTAGCATATGTTGAAATACCTTTTAATACTCAAAATCATATATCACTTTTCTGTTCAGTAGCTCATCGCCCACAGATTGGGAAACACTGCACTAAAGGATTAAAGATTTATCTTCAAATTTTTGGAGATTATCTTTTTTTGTTTTATTTTTTTTAAATGTGGGGAAGGTGTGAGATTATGTTGCCATTCCAATTTGAATTCTTTGTAGTTATAAGAAATGGACAAAAGCTAATTTTCTTCCTGTAGAGTGGAGTAATGGATAGTGGCTCGGATTGAGAAATCGTAGATCTGAGTTTGAATTTCAGTCAAATCCATTACATTCACTTACATGCTAATACCCTAGGGAAAGGTATGAATCATCTTCTTCCCCCCCCCCCAGCTATGGGTAAATAGCAGGACAGACCGGGTTCTATAGCCTTGGATGGCAACTGGTCTACTGCAGAAAGAAATGGCAACTTACTGTGGGAAAAAAATCTGCCTGTTCTCAAAACCTACAATCTGTTCTTAAGTGGGGCAAGGAATGATGATAATTTTAATGCCTCCAAAATGAAATGGCACTCTTTTAATCATCTGAGAGAACTGTTTTTATCTTCCATCAGCATGGCTGATACTAACCTGTGAATCATTTGCACTTTCTCAGACTAATGTTTTCCAATGACAAGAAGTGGAAACATTATACTGAATCAATTGCTGAAGAAGGAATGAAAGGAAATTTTTTGTACTTTTTGTCCACTAAAAAGTTAAGTTTTAATTATTATCAGTAAAATAACAGTTTCCATATAAAAGAACAGTTAAGAATTTGTTATTAAGCTAACAAACCATTGTTAGTAAATTTATTCCTCATATCATATAATCCATTGGACTGTTGCAAAAGTTTAACTTAATCAAATATTTTAAAATATTAGTTGTGTCATCTGCATATTTTGGATTTGTTTCATATTCAAGCAAAAGTTTAAAGAAAAAATAAAGAGAAAAAAAGAAAGAAAAAGAGAAAAAAAAGAAAGAAAAGAAAAAGAAAAAAGAAAAATGAAAGAAAAGAAAAAAAAAAAAGAAAGAAAAGAAAAAAAAAAAGAAAAGTAAAAAGAAAAAAGAAAGAAAAGAAAAAGAAAGAAACTTTTTGTGTTCCTTAATTAAAAAGAAAAAAAAAAAATAAAAAAGAAAAAAAAATAAAAGAAAAAAAAAAAAAAAAAAAAAAAAGAAAAAAAAAAAGAACCAAAAAGAAAAAAGAAAGAAAAGAAAAAAAATTTCTTTGTCTGTCCTTAAAAAAAGAAATAAACATCAAGAAAAGAAATAGAAAACCAAAGAAAAGAAAAAGAAAAAATGAAAAGAAAGAAATAGAAAAAAAGAAACTCTCAAAAAAAAAAGAATCAAAGAACTTGGAAAAAAAAAGAAATTTGAAAAAAAGAAAAGAAAAGAAAATCATTTAAAAAAAAAAGAAAAAAAAAAATAAAAATAAAAAGAAAGAAACAGAAAAAAAAGAAAAAAAAAGAAAAAAGAAAAAAAAAAAAAACAGAAAGTCCTATTCTGAAAAAGAAAAAAGAAAAAAAAAAAAAAAAACATTTTAAAAAAAAAAGAAAAAAAAAGAAAAAAAATTAAAAGAAAAATAAAAAAAAAAAAAAAAAAGAATTGGAAAAAAGAAAAAAAAGAAAAAAAAAAGAAAAAAAAAAAGAAAAAAAAAAAAGAAAACAAAAAAATTAAAAGAAACAAGAAAAAGAAAGAAAAGAAAGAAAAGTTTTTTTCAAAAGATAAAAAAGAAAGAAAGAAAAAAGAAAGAAAAAATTTGTTAGAAATAAAAAGAAAATAAAAAATATGCAAAAAAAAAAAAGAAAATTAAAATTTTAATGAAATTTTTCAAGTCAGTCAAGTCTCCAATTTGGGAGACTGGTATAATACAATCTTCCTACTTCTAATTCCCAACATTTAGGTTTTGTGCTATGTCACAATTTGTAAAGACATCATGGGTATGATGATAAACTACATCCGGCAAGTGATTTGGAGGTTTTGTTTTCCCAGGTCCACCCCAACCCTGGGTGGGGAGTACATGTTAGATTTTCAGCTATGGCTAAATAGTGACCCCCACTAAACTGAGGTCAAAATATTATAAAAGTATAAAAATACATTTTTGTAGTAAGAATATTAGCAATACACTTTCATAAAAAATGACCAAGAATATATTTTATAAAACAAAATTACCAAAGCTTGCAAGAAAATTAAATTTTGACATTAAATGACCAATCTGATATGTCATTAAATCAACCAAACCATATATATAAAATAATAAAAAAGTTAATGGTCAAATATATATATATATATATATATATATATATATAATATATATATATATATATATATAAGAGAGAGATCAATTTTTTTTTGATGATGTATGAAAGTACTTACCAAAAGCCTTGAGAAATGTTACTAAAGTCTGTGTGTACTGTTGGTCGCTTCACATCTTTCAATTGCTTAACTTTTTCCTGAGCTGCTTTGATCCTGAAATTAAAAATGTACTTCTTTTAAAGTTCGTCCTATAAAAACAGAAACATTAAATCATCATGCATAACAGAAGAGAAACAATTCATAACAAAATGAAGGTAACAAAAATAGATATTTTCATAAGTCGGTAAAACCAAAATATTAATAATTAAAAACATCTTAACCATTCCTCTGTCAACAGAGCAAAAACAGAGGACAAAAAAAAAAAAAGTAAAGTACAGGAGTGGAACATTTTTGCACTTTCTTCAGCTCATGTTTTCCCCCTGCTATGAAGTAGAATGATTATATTGAATCAACTGTTGGGTCCACTGTTAGGTAAGTTGATTCACTGTTTCATTGTAGATAATTCTTTTTGTCAGAATCATTCTTGAACATTTATAAATCTCACATTCATCCATGCATTGAATATTGCTGCCAAATCTGGTCTGGTACTCCTAAGATATATATCTCAAGATTGACAACATTCAAAGAAAGATCTAGAATATAATCTATCCTGACCTGGTATCTAGACTTCAATCACTTTCGTACCATTGTGATATGGCTTCTCTCTGTCCTTTTTTACAAATATTTTCATTGCAATTGTTTTGATGAGCTTTCTTCCTTGCTGCCTCAACTGGCAACTCGGTCTCACCATTTTACGCTTGAACTAGTTCGATGCAACCATATGTTCTATTCTAATACTTCTTGGCTGTAAAAATAGCTTCTGATTTTTTGCTTCACTGCCATCTAGAATCTTCAAAAATTTAAATGCAATGTCAATCGTTGTCTGTCTATATTTCTGAGATGAGATATTATGTACACTATTTACATTACTCGGACTCAAGGACGCATGGCACAGTGGATAAAGGCATTAGATCCAGTGACAAGACCCAAAGAGTGTGAGTTCAATGCCTGGTTAAGGCAGTGAACTTTCAGAGGGGAATTAACAGGAGATAACTGATAACTGACATCCATTAAAC